TATGTAAACAAGGCAAAAACAAAGTATAGGGATCAAGAGAATACCTGGTGAAAGATATAATTTAAAATAAAAAGAAATTTTTTTTATTTACTAATAGATCTACGTTTAATAGTATTATATTTGCAGTTAGTAGAGATGCTATCAATAAATGGTAAGGTATGCATTACTCGAAGAGTATCAAAAAAAAAAAAAAATCTAAATGATATGTTCAATAATTTTCTAAATTATGTTCAGGCAAGTAAAAAAAAACATCAAGTTATATGATATTAGATTGCTAATTTTTAATAGTACATATTTCATATTAGGTATATTCCAAGTAGTATTTTAAATAGGATTTTTAATTTATCAGATAACAGCTGAAATAATAGTTTTTGTATGTATATTGATATTAATAACAGGTGTTTTAATTTAAATTTTGTTCAAAATATCAGATATTCTGAATTTTTATTATATTATTTAAAATACTGATTTTAAGTAAAAAAAAAAAAATAGTAAGAATCTTAGTAAATAATCAAAAATAATATATAATTTTTTTTTTTTGTAAAAATTATTTTATATAATTTGTATTATCATGATTATAGAAAATTATTATTATTTTTTTAGCTACAAAAGTAATTGCATAATATTACTAATTCAGTTTGTTTAAAAATATGAAAAATATCTCAAAGTTGTTTCTTTAAAATAATATACTTCATTAAGAGCAAATGCTAAGCAAAATATTACAATTTACTAAAATGCACTATAGGTGTTGAACATCATGTCACACAAAGCTATTAGAATAGCCAATCAAAATTTAAGATCAAATGTAATCTAAAGTTTTGTTTTTTTGCTTATTTTTTCAAAAAAATAATAATATCTCAAAATTTCGCTTATAAAACTACTCTTGAAGCTCTAATTAAAAAAATTCCTTGCTAAATTTTGCATATACTAATATTTAAATAAAATTTTAGGCCTCACCCTAACTCCAAAATAATTAAAAGTTATTTTTTGTTTTTATAAAAATTTATTTTTTTGTTTTTGTTACACAAATTTGCAAATCAAAATAATACTATGGTGTTAAACACCATAGACGTATTTTATAATTTTTGAAATATTATATATATAATTTATAATAATTAAATTTATAATATTTAATACTAAGTTATAATATACAAATATGTTTAACTTAAAAGCATCTGATCTAAGAATATTTGCTTAATTCAACATATTTAATTTATATATTTTTAAAGTAAGTAAATAAAACAATTTTAAATTTTAATAAAAACTTTACATATCTATGGATTTTTGGAATGATAATTATTTTTGATGCACCCTAAAAATGATCTACAGGATGTGTCAGCTAGTTGACATCTAATAAAATTTACGAAGCATTATAATACAAGTCACTCTTGTTATAGTGAACTCTTGCTATAGTGAATCAGTTTATATAAAAAGCTCTCAATATAGTGAATTTACTAATAGACTTTTGATATAATAAAGAAAATCTTACAGCCTGATCACTTCTCTATAATGAGAGTGACTTGTAAATAACCTAATTTTTAACACCCTACTTCAACTGCTCCAGGTTAGCAATTACCTATAAAGTTTGGTATAGTACGTAAATTTGTTTTTTTTCTTTGACAAAAAAGAATTTAAAAGTTAGTGAAAATACTTCTAGGCTACAACAAAATGAAGTAATGGTCCAATTAACTATTCAGAACTGTTTTAGTTGTCAAGTGCTTTCCTTGGTTATTGAAGATATAAATGGACTGACCAATTAATTGTATTGTATAACTGTATGCAATAAACACACAGTACGTATCTGTATAATGCATTTATCTTTATTTTTTATAAACTAAAAATGTCGAATGAAGACTTTAGCAAATTAATCGATAGTTTCAATAATTACTAATTGTCAATAATTAGCAGATACTGTATGAATGATCTAAATAGATCAACAGGTGGGTATTGTAATATGAAATTGGAATTAAAAAGGTGAAAACAAGGTATTTATATATTAGCAAATATAAATGATTTTAACAGAATGTTTATTGTTATTATTTAAGCATTGGAGTCAAAATCGATAAGCATAAAGCGTCTACATATTATTTGAAGTCTGTTGTGGCAGGTAATTTTATGAACAAGAGACCATAGGAAAGAAAAAAAATCAAATCTTCTGGTAGTATTATGCTTGATGAAGCAATCATCTTTTGCAAAAACATATGCATATAATCTTTGGGTATAACACTTTCTGAAAAGTTGAATAGCTTATTTTGAATGCTATAATTCAATACTATCATATGATTTTGCAGATATGTATATCTATGAAGTCATATGATAGTGTTGAATAGCATTCAAACTATGCCACTCAACTTGTTGAATTTAGTGTAAACATAGGAAAAATTTATAAGCAAAGATCAAAGCAAAAAACATATATAGATATTTAATAAAATTAATCATCTTTTATATATAAAAATCTGGCCTAATCACTTTTATAATAGCATTTGCCTAATACATAGAGCTCATCTTAACAGATTTTTAAATAGAAACAAAAAATAAATAATCATTTCGATTCTAGTTTATTTCAATAATGAGCTTCAACTTGAAACATTCCAAATTTTGACAACGTGAGTATGATTTACACTTATTCCTTTCAATACTGAATCTAAGATAAAAATAAATAAATGCCTTGCATATATCTTTTTTCTCATCAATTATACAGCCTTATGAAATAGCGAAAACCAAGAATTATATTATTTTTTAGAATATATATACTAAGAAATAAATATTAATATCATACTATTTGTCACTCTTTGAATTTTTCTAATATTACAGTTCATAATTTTCTGTTGCTGAAAGTGCCTTATTACTGTAACCAATTTCACAGTAATCATTTTCAAGCTTAGATAAAGGTGCCAAGTCAAAAGAAATTGAATTTCTTTCTGTTCTCACTATTAAAAAAAAAATTAATGTACAATATTAAATTGAACTAATACACTTTAGGAATGTAGCAGTACCTGAACTAGTAAATCTTCTGCATCTGTTCTGGTTAAATTGAAACTTTTAAATTCAAATATAAACATTTTGATAGATTAGTTAACTTAGTATTAGTATGCTGTATAACTTGAATCTAATATATTTTTGTTACACAGATAGAAGAATCCCAATATAAATTAATGATTAAACAAGAAAATTTCTACATTATGCATTAACACTTGTATTTTTTCAGTATAAAATTAAACTACAATAAGCTCTGAGAGTCACTTGTTTGATATTAAGCTAGAGATATATTATATTGATTGCAAATTGCACATATTCTATTCTAATAGTTTCTTTTAAAATTAAACTCGTTGACTATAATTTTTATTTAAATAATATATTACATATTATATCATGATATAGTAACAGATACAAAACCTGACCATTACTATATGATATTAAAAATTTACTAATGATGAGGAGACAAAGAGACCAATATGAGCATTAATGATAATAAGCTCAAAAACATTCTGAATAAATATTATCTTAATTAGAAATTATAGTAAATATTAAATATGTATACGTATCTGAATTATCTGTAAAGTTCTACTGGAATTTTCTGTTATTAATATTATATGATCTGAATATCTGAATTGAGATTTAGATATTTTTATCATCATATACTATATTTTAATAAGACATACTAAAATTTTTTGGTTGGTAATATTCTTTATTAACATATATTTGATTTAAATAAAAGAAGAAATTTATTTCTATAATTGAGATACTGAAAATACTTAAACAACATTTAACTATATATAGTTTTTATCAAAAATCACAATATAGAATTCAAGTTTTAACTAGAATAATTATTAAGCTAATCTTAATTAAAACTTGATTGCAATCAGGCTATTAAAGTTTAGGTTTAACTATAGGTGCAGACTTATTTATATCATTAGTTAAAGGTTAATTTTGTCTTATTTTATAAACTGATTTTTTATATAGAATATAATTGGATGATGTCATAAGTCTGCACCTATAGGTTTAACTAAGATAATTACTATATTATTTTGATTATAAAAACTTTATCACTATCAAGATACATACAAAGTATTTATAGCAAAAGGTGTACTTATACTTGTTAGCAAAATCCCAAACTATTATAAAATTAGTTAGTCTGTGCCTAAATCCCAAACTCTAGCAAAATTCATATCTCAAAAATTTTATTAATAATCCTTATTCAAACAAATATCATATATTCTTATAGTTATATATAATATATTAGCAAAATTTCTAGACTATTTTTTTTTTAAATTTGTCCAGGTTTTGCCATTTTGCTAGTAAGTATAGGCATACTAGGACAGATTTGGAACAAATTTTTAAAAAATAATAATAACTTAAAATTTTATATTTTTTATTATTACTATTATAAAGAAATTGATGCAATAAAGTTGGAATGTCCCAGAATGGAAAAGGCTTGGAACTATCAAAATGTATAATACTAGCAGTGTACTATATATATTGTACATATATAATTACGTAGTATTTCTTATTTCAAAATTTCAATTACTATATCTCTTAAACGAAATAAATATTCTGAAAAAAATCCTTTTTCACTTAGATAAAATAATACTAAATATACATATAATATTATCAATGAAGGATATTATCCTCCAAAAAATATGCTATACTATACCTCAAATCACAATACTAGTAGTAGTAAAACTTAATATAAAATTCCAGATGAATATTTAGTTAAAACTAGTTGGGGAAGGAAGTTATGATATACAATAGAATGTGAAATTGAATATGATTCAGAAGGACCAGTCTTTATAATTAGATTTAATAAAAATTTTCAACATGTTATACAATTGAAAGAGTCTCCATCTAATGTTACCAATGAATATTTATAAGTTAGTACAACTTATTTAATAAAATTTTACATAATTTCATTTTATAAAAATTTAGTATTTTTCATATAGAGAAAAGGTTTTATTAATCATGCAAAAATTTCTGACATTCACGTGTTTGGTCTAAATGCTATGGATGTTGAACAAGAATGTGAACGTAAAAGAAAAGAGAATAGACCATATTTCCTTAAACTATTTAATATGCTAAGCAAATCGATAAAAACAAAACATTCTTATACATTTTCTCTACATATAAATAAATCCTTTGAAAAATGATCTCTCAAATTTTATAATCTAAATAATTAGCTAGTTTTGAAAGAAATTCGATTTAATGTTCAAGATAAGAATTATTTGGTTAATTAATGTAAAGAAAAGAAACATCAGAATATTAATGTATTTGTATATGTTATTGATCAAAATTTAATTTCTTGAGATGCCTACTGTGATCTATCTGCACTTGAACCTGATTTACTATAAGAACATAATATTTCAAATACTAGAAAAAAAAGAAATAAAGAAATGAATAAAAAGATTCTGATTTTTATTTTAGACCTCAAGAATATTCTATCATAGCAACTAACGAAATATCATATATTGATGATGAGGAAATTGAAAAAGAAATGTTGAAATATGTTAGAAAAGCAGAATACATGAAGATCACAGATATTTTGCTTTTTGTTATTCCAGGTTTTGTAGATCAGAACATTCTTTATATAAACAATCTAGTTATTTATATTTGTATTTCAGGTGATAGTCGCAATGTTAGCAGGAAGATAAAACATGTAATAATTATATATGCTATCTTAGATGACATCTTAAATATTCATAGAGCTGAATTTCACTATATGATAATTTTATATCCTGGTAACGAAAACTATAAACTACTACAAAAAGTAATGGAACTAATGATCAATGAACTACATAACCTAGTAACTAATGGATTAGATTCTAGTAGAACACAATGGAAGATCATTTCATATTTCAGTAGTGACTAGAAATTCTTGAGTATAATTTTAGATTTCAATGCAGCAAATGCGAATTACTTTTGCCCTTGGTATCTGTGCTTTAAGAAGGAAATTGGTACTAAGGATAAAGTATATATGATAGAAAAAACTATGGAACAACTTCAAACTGCAAAACTGCTATCTGGTTATTCTAAAATGTCTCTTCTTTAGATGATTCTCTTGTAACATTATGTGCCTAATTTGCTTCATATAATATTAAGGATTTGGGATCATATATAGTCATTAGTAATCTAAGAGCTTAAATCTAAAAATAGATACGATGATGATATTAGAGCAATTATTAGTTCAGAAATGCAAAGAATTTCTGTTAAATTTCATTTTTAGCAAGACTATAATATATAAAATTAGAATAACACTTCCTTAATTGGAGATGATAAAGAACTTGTATTATGTAATTTCAATTTCGAATTAATTTTTAATAAGGAATAAGGCATGCAAATTAATCATCTCTGGAGAGACTTTTATATACTTTATAATAATATGAAACAACAAAATTTTAATTCTGGTCTTTTATCAATTCAAGCAAAAAATTGGCTTGATCTATTCCTTACTCCTTCTTAAGGTGCACTGAATACAAGAGATTTTAAAAAAAGATTATATAGACCAAAAGATGTTATTCTATATATACATGTTTTAGTTAATCATATATATGAATTTATAAAACACTATAGATATTTTGGTTTTGTAGCATTTTCATATGCTATAGTCGAAAAAAAAATCACAACTAAGTTTCTACTTTTTTTAAAAAAACTATGAAGAATAGTAGTAATAGTGCAGAATGAAAATCTGCTATTTATGAAATTCTTTGTTATGAGAATTGGTCTATATATTTTACTCAAAATCCTACTTTTAATTTAGTTCCTAGACATCAATATATTCATATTAAAAATAATTAGCAATAAAATAGTAAGGCTAATTGAAGCCTTTATTCATTTCTAAATATTTCCATCTTGATGAAAACAAAAATTTATTTTAAAAGAATATGGATTTAATGCAGAATTTTCTAAAACACTATTTGATTACGCAAGATTTTTAAAAGTTCTCAATTTATTCAATCTAGAATAGAAGGTTAAAAAATTAAAAAGTTAAAAGAATAGAAGGTTAAAAAATGAATTTAAATAATGTTTCCAATTGCTATACTGATAGAATTAGCGTTAAAAAAAATTTCTGAAATGTAGCATATAAATAGAATATATATAATTTTAGCAATGTATTGGTATTGAAATAAATAAGAATTGTATAATAGAAATAGCATGTTGCATATATTTTTATAATAATTTTATTTTTTTGAGAATATTTTTTAGCAATATTTGTATACTCAATCCTAAAGTTCTTGTCTCAAAATATAATAGTAATAACTGCAACAATCAGTGTTAGCCACTTTAGATCATATCCAACTTTATATAACCAAGATGGTTATAATGTATTAGTAAATTTTATAAGTCATAACAGATCATAAGGTCATAATCTATAGTTGGCCAATAGGTTATAGGCCAACACTGGCAACAATTACTATACAATAGATATATAATATATTAACATTTTGCCTCAATAAAATTTGAATTCATTAATTTTAAATTTACCAAATCCTATAGCTTATAATCAAACTATAATTTGTGATAAGTGTATTCTATAGTATTAATTTATAATTTACTGTATTTCAATTAATATGATTGTTATAGATTTTTTCTATTAGGAAGTTTCAGAATTAACCTATTTAAAAATAAGTAAGAGTTAAAAAGTTCTATTTTCTGCTTTAAAATTTTGAATCATAATATTAAATAAGTATATTCGATAAAATAATTGATAAATATCTATCAGTAAGTGATTATATAAATAAGTATATCTGATATATTCTTAAAAAAGGAGGATTTATATATTACTTGTTTTGAAATAAATACATCACTAATCATTAATTATGAAACTCTCTATTATTTGATCAATATAGATAAATTTTTCAATTAGAACTATCATCTGATTACATTATTTGTTCACAATTGAGATAGATCGTTAATAATTAGTAATATAATAGCACCAAAGTTAACCTATCATACCAATGTAGAGAATATATAAGACGTTTTAGAGAGGATTTGGGCAGTTGATCATGTCTAGTAGTAATTCAAAGATAAAAGATTGAATAAATAAATATAATATATTCTATATTGATAAATAAATAAATCAATGTATTTATGATATGATGATAAATAATAATAAAATTCTATTTGTAATATGTATTGTGTATATATATTAATTAAGGCTTTTATTTAATTTATGCATATCAATGCATTTTAAGTTTTTTTAATTGTGATTTTAATAATTGATTCAATATTACATAATTACTATAATTACTCAAGATCTAGAATACAACTTTTACATATCTAGTCACCTAGATATGTCTCTGTATTCTAAAATAATTTCCAGAACTACTACTTGGTGAAATAGGTTAATGAATTATTGTTATTATTAGAAGACTCTAGTAGAACTAATAGATAATCAGGTGCTGGCATTGCTTTAGTAAGATTTCTAATATTAGCAATATTATTGCGAACATATACTTGAGTTGTATAGAATTTAGGATCATCCAGGATAACTTTAGTGAAAATTCAGTGAAAGGTGAAACTTCTAGCTAAAGACAAAGCTCCTAAAGAAAGATGAAGCTTTTGGTGAAAGGAAAACCTTAATAAATATTAAATGTTAAAAATTATGGAATAAACAATATAGTGATTAAAATTTCTTATAATGTACAATTTTAAGTATAAATAATAATAATAATAAAAATGTTCGAATTATTAAAGATCTAAATACTTTTTTTTTTTTTCTGACAATATCGCCTATTCTGGTTTAGAAATTTAATAATTTTATTTTTTGATCAAGTGTTTTATTTCTTATTTTAATGACAATTCAAAAGGCCAAAAACTAAATTTGCTATATATAAAAGCTTAAATACATATACCTAGATGAAGTTTGATTATTTTTCACATCTTTTTTAGCTTTCACTTTCCATTCTATAGTTAGCCTTAGTAATCTATTTTTGTATCGTTTACTAAATAAATTACAATTAGTATCTTTTTTAGTTTAAGCATCAAACAACAAGACAAGCGTCTGTTGATTATTATCAAAAAATTTGTACCCTCAATTTGAATTGTTAAAAATACTAGTTAATTGTATGTATACATCAGGACCTTAAAAAAAACACTTATAACTACTCTTCTTAGAGTTAAAATAATGAATATAACCTTTAAAAACACTAAAAAACAAACTTTCTAAGCATGGGAATGAAATAGTTTGTTTGCCTAACTGCTTAAAATGAACTTTAAGCTTGCTTCCAATAATATGAACAAGATCTGCTTTAAACTGAGTAATTGCTTTTAAAGGTAATGTATATAGTCCTTTATGGTGAATATTATATTTTTAAACAGTGTTTTGATGATGAGTTAGACCTTTTTTTGTTTTATATATAGTACTACACATTTTACACTCAAAGTATTGTTGCACAGTAGAAGTACCTAAACTGTAATTGGTCATACTATTTTGTTAATCTATAAAATAAAAAAATTTATTAAATAAATATTTTTTGTAAACTAATATTTGTAATGCCTTTAGCGTTTTATATTACCTTCTTACATAAAGTATATATTATTGGCTTAAGGATGGGGTAATTGGTTTGACTATATTAAAATTATTTGTTTTATAAAAATTTTAATTTTGTTTTTTGAGTAATTTTAGAACACAAATCGATCAGCTAATATGAAATTTAGAGTATAAAAAAAGATCCAATTCTAAAAATTCGTGGATATGTAATTGAAAATAGTATTAATTAGCTATATACTATCTAATATCTAATTTTTTAAACCTTGACTTATCCAGTTATCCTAAGGATACCTATATGCATAAATATTAGTATTATATTATAAAATTAAATATAATATAATATTAATATTAGTATTATATATTATAAGATTAAATTCTAATATTAATATCAGCATTATATATTATAAAATTATGATATTAATATTAGCATTATATATTATAAAATTATGATATTAATAAGGTCTGGTGATCTTAGTATAGTGGTTAGGTTGCTAGACTACTATGCAAGAGGTCTGGAGTTCAAATCCCACTGTTGATGAATTTGAATAATTACTTAGACCTTTGTATTCAACTTATAGTAAACTCTGCTCATTTCTGGAGGTTACAACTCTGTAAATCATGTTATACTAATATCAATCGGATATTGAAAGTATGATGCAATGCTCGAGTTATATTATATGAATAAATCTTGAAAGGATCTATGCGTAGGGGACCTGTATAGTAGAAATTCTGAGTTTAGTGAAGTAGTATAGATTTCAATAGTTAAGCTAGTTAATGTCTAATCTAGTGAAAAATCTGAGTATGAAGGATATAAGATTAATAGGTATGTGTAAGTCTACTGTATAATATAGCCTAGTGCCTTGTATTAGCAGCAATACCAACTTGGCTTAGTGGCTAACCAGATTGGAAAAATCTACCTGTAAAACATCTGGCTAGAACTTGGAAGACTATATCTGGTAGATGGCTATAGCAGAAACTAGATTTGTACGAACATTCACAAGGGTCTAATCTAGGTGAATCTGTAAAATAGGCATATGACCACTCTGATAAGAATTACTTTCGAAGTTAACTAGAGCTCTGCAGCTCATAATATGTTGGGCATACATATCCCAAGAAGATCTAAGCTGTACAGAGAATAGATTTACGGATGAACTAGCTGGCTTAAGTAGTTGGTCATAGTAGTGACATTAGTTTGAGATAGAAAGAAAGGTTAATAATTAGAGTGTTTAAATAGGTAACTCACAGGCAGGTTGCAGGTATAGCAGCATAGTGTAGAACCAACAGATGGTTGATTATCTGTATGACAGACTACTTAAATTAGACAATGACTAAAGTTGTATGTGTAGCTTATTGTACACTCATCATGTAACTATAAAACCTTAGGAAACTATTTATGTGATAGTTCCATAATAACAAACTAATAAAATCTAATCGGCCAAAGAAGTGGCCTTAATAACAAAAAAAAAAAAAAAATTATGATATTAATATTTATTTAATATATTACTAGGCTTATATAAAAGTAGTCATAGAAATATAGAACTAGAACTTTTAAAAATTGT